TGTGTGTGCTAAGAGTGTTAATTGGCGATTTGACAAGGGGCATGTGTGCCAGGATGACAGATGGCTTGTCTCAGATCATAAGATGCGCACGCACTACATCAAGGGCAGTAGGACCATGCAACAAGTGCTGTAACATTGATTTCTGTATGGTCTGTGTTCCATGTGGCCCAGCAGCATGATTGGTAGTCAGCCAGGCGGCAATTCATGCTAAGCTATTTTTACCCTCTTTACCCTACCCACATTGGCATTCCGCTTTACACCTAAGCTGAGGAGTATGGCACTGAAGAAATTAGGTGAACGTGATGGGCAGACTAACTACCTAGTTTCATGACACTACACTACAGATGTTGCACTGACTCAGATTGCAGCAAATGTATGTGAATGATATATTGCGCTAGTAAAACGGATCAATTCCAGCCTGGGGTTTTGCTTTACGTTTCATAGTTGAACCTCTTGAAAAAAGAAAAAGAAAAAAAGTGTCGAACAGTGAAGCGAAACTGAGAAGAGACAGGTTAAATAGAGCTAAACATCAACAAGTCTTGAAAAAAGGTAAGGACTATGACTTGGATCTGAGTTCTGGATCATGAACAATACAGGATCTGGTCAGGAACAAGGTGTCTGGGATGGCTTGCTATATATGTGTTGTTTTTAAAAGACGCGTAAAGACACATAAAGTAACTCAGATGACAATCACTTCATCTCAATAAAACTGCAATGTTTACATTGCAGGCAGTGGCAAAGCTAATGTAGAGATGGTCCTAATGCAATAATTTTTTAGTCCTCCTACCTCATTGCAATGGTGGCCAAAAGGTAGATCATAAGGGAGCGTATGAGTCATAGAGTTGCCGCTGGATAAACGTGCCAGTGCTGACACAGCAGCATCCTAGGACCACCAGGGATAATACTCCAGCTGGACACTCAGCCAACTCCACACATAGATATTACACTCAGCCAGCCTCCACAAAAATCCCACTCAGATGTACTGCTTAGGGAGCGAGAAGGGGTGATGAGGGAGGTCTTTCTTTGACTCTTTCCCCTAGGATACAATGGTTACTAGTTTTGCTCCTACTCGCAAGGTAAGTAGTAAGTAGGGAAACTCCAGCGCCAGGAAAAAGTAGTTAAAGGGAAACTCCAGCGCCAGGAAAACAATCCGTTTTCCTGGCACTGCAGGTACCCTCTCCCTAGAACCCCCCATCCCCAGTTGCTGAAGGGGTGAAAACCCCTTCAGGTCACTTACCTGAGACCCCGCAGATGTCCCTCGGCATTAGACTGATCCCACCCACCAGCCAGGGAGATGCCGCGCACACGCATTAGAGCTTCCCATAGGAAAGCATTGAAAATGCTTTTCAATGCTTTCCTATGGGGAATTGAGCGATTTTGGAGGTCCTCACATAGCGTGAGGACGTCCAGCGACGCTCTAGCACAGGTTTTCTGTGCTATAGAGCAGGAAGTGCCCTCTAGTGGCTGTCTTGTAGACAGCCACTAGAGGTGGAGTTAACCCTGCAAGGTAATTATTGCAGTTTATAAAAAACTGCAATAATTACACTTGCAGGGTTAAGGGTAGTGGGAGCTGGCACCCAGACTACTCCAATGGGCAGAAGTGGTCTGGGTGCCTGGAGTGTCCCTTAAAGTTGTTTACAACAGTTTGACAACTTACCTAGAGTCCACTGGAAGTCGGGGGTGCGGGGCTTAGCTGATTGGCTGAGCGCACTCCTTTGGCACTCTCAGACAATGAATTGGTCCTGCACAGCAGGGTTTACTTCAGTGGATCTGGATGTGATGGGCACTGGCAAAGCCCAATGTAAGCTGTAATACTGTTCAAAAACTGACTACTTACCCTTGAAAGGGACCCAGGGCACACCTGGCACCATAACCACTGCAGCAGTCTGTAGTGATGATGGTGCTTGAAGTGATCCTTTAATTTTGCTGTTGGGCGTTCAATTCTCTACAGTCTGCTGCTTAGTAAATATTGAGATTCTATATTAAACAGGAAATGGTCGTGGATAGTAATAGTAATTTATTAGAATATAGAGTTTTATAATACAAACACAAGTAGGACAGCAACAAATATCTAAAACCAGGAGTAAAACCATAGAGCTGAGCTGGAGAATATGTCTCTATCATCCTTTGTGGTCTAAATGTTGCAGTTTTCAGTTGTTGATAATTCGCAGTTTAGTGAATACACCATCACATATCGGGTCTTGCTGTTTTGTTTTCCAAGCCATTTGTTTAGATTTGTTTGACTCTCCCGCACTAACCCACGTGACCCCGCCGTTGCCATGGTAGCTTGATGCTGAGGATCGCAGTGCAGTCTGGGAGACTGAGGACAAGGTCCACTCTCAGCCAGTAGACTGCCGGGCAGCAGAACTCCATCCCCCAGAAGGCTCGGCCCCGCCCAGGACACGTGCTTCCATCCGGCCAATCACCGAGCCCGGAGCCCAGAGAGAGGCAGATCGGCTTACCTGGGACTGTTGCTACACACGCGCTGGTGTTGTACCTGGAGGAGTGAGTGCTGCTCGGGAGCCTGTGTGCAGCCATTACTATGGGTCCCTGGGAGCCCGCTCTGACCGGCCATACTGCGTGCTGAGTGTCTGAGAGTGTGTTATTGATCATACCTATATACCTACTGTCATGGTAGAGCTGGGACATGCTAGCTGTGTGCACTAGGTGGGTGTAACACACAGCAGTGTAGCATTGGCTGGTTGGTGTGTACCAGGTGGATGTAACACACAGGTGTAGCATTGGCTGGTTAGTGTGTACCAGGTGGATGTAACACACAGCAGTGTAGCATTGGCTGGTTGGTGTGTACTAGGTGGCTGTAACACACAGCAGTGTAGCATTGGTTGGTTGGTGTGTACTAGGTGGATGTAACACACAGCAGTGTAGCATTGGTTGGTTGGTGTGTACTAGGTGGCTGTAACACACAGCAGTGTAGCATTGGCTGGTTGGTGTGTACCAGGTGGGTGTAAAACACAGCAGTGTAGCATTGGCTGGTTAGTGTGTACCAGGTGGATGTAACACACAGCAGTGTAGCATTGGCTGGTTGGTGTGTACTAGGTGGATGTAACACACAGCAGTGTAGCATTGGCTGGTTGGTGTGTACCAGGTGGATGTAACACACAGGTGTAGCATTGGATGGTTGGTGTGTACTAGGTGGCTGTAACACACAGCAGTGTAGCATTGGCTGGTTGGTGTGTACCAGGTGGGTGTAAAACACAGCAGTGTAGCATTGGCTGGTTAGTGTGTACCAGGTGGATGTAACACACAGCAGTGTATGGCTGGTTAGTGTGTACCAGGTGGATGTAACACACAGCAGTGTAGCATTGGCTGGTTAGTGTGTACCAGGTGGATGTAACACACAGGTGTAGCATTGGCTGGTTGGTGTGTACCAGGTGGATGTAACACACAGGTGTAGCATTGCTGGTTGGTGTGTACCAGGTGGATGTAACACACAGGTGTAGCATTGGATGGTTGGTGTGTACTAGGTGGCTGTAACACACAGCAGTGTAGCATTGGCTGGTTGGTGTGTACCAGGTGGGTGTAAAACACAGCAGTGTAGCATTGGCTGGTTAGTGTGTACTAGGCAGTGTAGCATTGGCTGGTTAGTGTGTACTAGGTGGATGTAACACACAGCAGTGTAGCATTGGCTGGTTGGTGTGTACTAGGTGGATGTAACACACAGCAGTGTAGCATTGGCTGGTTGGTGTGTACTAGGTGGATGTAACACAGCAGTGTAATATTGGCTGGTTGGTGTGTACTAGGTGGATGTAACACAGCAGTGTAGTATTGGCTGGTTGGTGTGTACCAGGTGGATGTAACGCACAGCAGTGTAGCATTGGCTGGTTAGTGTGTACCAGGTGGATGTAACACACAGCAGTGTAGCATTGGCTGGTTAGTGTGTACCAGGTGGATGTAACACACAGCAGTGTAGCATTGGCTGGTTGGTGTGTACCAGGTGGATGTAACACACAGGTGTAGCATTGGATGGTTGGTGTGTACTAGGTGGCTGTAACACACAGCAGTGTAGCATTGGCTGGTTGGTGTGTACCAGGTGGGTGTAAAACACAGCAGTGTAGCATTGGCTGGTTAGTGTGTACTAGGTGGATGTAACACACAGCAGTGTAGCATTGGCTGGTTGGTGTGTACTAGGTGGATGTAACACACAGCAGTGTAGCATTGGCTGGTTGGTGTGTACTAGGTGGATGTAACACAGCAGTGTAATATTGGCTGGTTGGTGTGTACTAGGTGGATGTAACACAGCAGTGTAGTATTGGCTGGTTGGTGTGTACCAGGTGGATGTAACGCACAGCAGTGTAGCATTGGCTGGTTGGTGTGTACCAGGTGGATGTAACACACAGCAGTGTAGCATTGGCTGGTTAGTGTTTACCAGGTGGATGTAACACACAGCAGTGTAGCATTGGCTGGTTAGTGTGTACCAGGTGGATGTAACACACAGCAGTGTAGCATTGGCTGGTTAGTGTGTACCAGGTGGATGTAACACACAGCAGTGTAGCATTGGCTGGTTAGTGTGTACCAGGTGGATGTAACACACAGCAGTGTAGCATTGGCTGGTTAGTGTGTACCAGGTGGATGTAACACACAGCAGTGTAGCATTGGCTGGTTAGTGTGTACCAGGTGGGTGTAACACACAGCAGTGGCAGGTGTCAGGACATGGATGCCAGAGGGGGTAGGATGCCCCAGCAGCAGGAAGGGGATGAAGATGGAGGAGGCTGGGACAATCAGTCAGTAGATACCCGCTCATCATCTTACACTGACTGCAGCAGCTGCTCCAGGTAATACTATCTAACACTCAGCATGCCTGTAGTGCAACCTCCTCCTTTATTGGGACATACTAAAAGGAATGATACAATGGAATACTCATATACTTTAATAGGGCTTTCATTTTTGTTGGCTACTGTGTATGCTGAAAATCAAAAACAAAAAATGATCCCAAGGCACACCATGGTTTTGCACATAAAGAGTATTTATTCATGCATAGAAAATACAACAAGATATCATTATAGCAGAGAGAAAGTGCATAGTATAGTGCTAAACCAGTATACTTTTTTTTTTTTTTTAAATGGGTTTTTGCATTGTGGTTTTCGTACTATATACTGGTTTAGCACTATACTATGCACTTTCTCTCTGCTATAATAATATCTTCTTGTATTTTTTATGCATGAATAAATACTCTTTATGTGCAAAACCGTGGTGTGCCTTGGGATCATTTCTTATTTTTTATTACTTGTATATATCTGGTATGGGAACAGATTCTCTTCCTTTAAGAGCACCCTGTGCCTTATAAACCACACACTTATTACCCATTTTTCTCTAGGGCTTTTCCTGTAATTTTATGACTGTGTATGCTGAAAGCAAGGTTTGTGTCTTGTATCTGTAAACACCAGTACATAGTATCAAAGTGTCATTTAATGACTGGATTATCAGATCATCTACCATTCCAGGTAAATGCCAGAACCATTCTTTTATTAATGTAAAATTTTTTTTCTATACCTATTAATTTCTTAATATAGTATAAAAGGGGCCAGTGTCACCCAGTGTGTATTTAAAATATCTCTGTCAAAAAAGACTCAAATTAGAGTGAATCTGCTTGTGAACTGTTATAAACTTGCATGGTCACAGCTTTGCCTATGAATTGTGGATATTGCAGTCCACAGCATGTTGAAGGCCGTTGTCTTATGAAGTGTCTTATGTACTGCGTAAACTTTATCACAGGGTGCACTGCCTTAAGGTGATGATGGTGCTTTGAGTGTTTCCTTTAAAGGAACACTTACAAGCACCCAGACTACTTAATTTCAACAAAGTGGCCTGGGTTCAATGTCCCTGTCCCCCTTGGTCATGCAATGTAAATCTTTGCAGGTTTAGAGAAACGGCAATAACTATATAACTACTAGGGGCTGTCAATCAGATAGCCACTAGAGGTACTTCCTGCTTGCTAGGCGATTTTTGGTCACCTAACTGATGTTGGACATCCTCACGCTCTGCATGAAGACATCCAGCGGCAAGAAAATCCCCATAGGAAAGCATTGCAGCAATGCTTTCCTATGGGGAGGGCCTAATGTGCTTGCGGCATTCGCCACGCATGCACATTCAACAAAATTAAGATGTAGTTTGTTCCAAAGTAATTTAGAGGTTTCTCTTCGTGCCTCAATACATATGTTACATATTGAGTTGTTTATTTTTTTTCCTCTTTCTTTTTAAAGCATCCTTACCTTTTGTGTCATTTTACCCCACTCCCTCTAGAATGTAAGCTCATTGAGCAGGTCCCTCAACCCCTCTGTTCCTGTGTGTCCAACTTGTCTGATTACAACTACATGTCTGTTAGTCCACCCATTGTAAAGCGCTGCGGAATTTGACGGCGCTCTATAAATATCATAATAATAATAAAGCACAGAAAAGGGATTTCTTTTAATATCTTATATGTACACCTAACACAGCATTAACTGTGAATGAAATGTTAAAAATGGCAAGTAAAAACATTTCCACACCCTCCCAGATTGTTTGCTTATGATAATAATTACAAATCCAGTGCAACTAAATAAAACGGCTTAAAATAGATTCCTTTATCAGTCCTGATTGTTAAATGCCTCATATGTCTGGGATCTAAATTAAGTTTTGGTGGTTAACTCTAATCCTATACTACCCCTAATGTATTACTTCCCTAACCATGAAACTGTATTAACCCTTACACTAACCCTACCATGCCCATATCCCTAACATCAAGGAACCCTCTGCTGATATCAGTTTATGGGTTTTTTAGTTAAAAAAGAGGGGGGTATGTTGCTGCCATATACTTGCTATTTTCAGCATTACAGACAAATCCCTGTAATGCTGAAATTGCGGCATGCCAATTACACTGTGATTGGTGCTGGGCAGCTGGCAAAGCCCATCACTGATAACAATTTGCATGGGGCCATTCTGGGAGACTTCTTTAGGGTCCGTACAGACCTTTGGGGTCTCCTTTGAGCACCTGCCAGTCCAGTAACACCGCAACCGAGGGCAATCTGCTCAGCTGTAGGGTTTTATAGGGCTGCATGCAGCTCATCAGTCAGCCTGACAAAGGGGAGCCCCAGTGATCGATTGATATCCGAGACTCCCTGCTGTGAGTAGGGATAATCATGTATTGCTATGCAACACTGTCTGAATTGTTTCGTACATACAAGCTATATTTAATTATAGCCAAGCCATTACTAACTATTTCATGAAAATAAATGATTTTTGTAATCATTTCTTGTGTTGGGAAATTGATTTCTAATGGTAAACTAATGGGTATTTTAGTCTTTGTTTAAGCTGCATTTTTGCAGATTGAACGATACCTGTACCAACACGTTTTTAAAAGAAATCTGTATCAATATAAGAACTTTCTATTAGCTTCCTAAATCAGTTTTGTTTAATTTAAACTCATGAAGGGTAGGTTTAGGCACTCTACCAAACCTGCTGGGCTATATAGCATGTACATTTTGTTGTGGAAATTGTAACATTCATAGGTCCTATGGCTGATTTTATTGATCTTCTCTGACCTTTGGGGTGATAAGATTCTTTTATGTTAAAGGAATTCTCTCAATTTCAAAATATGTTTTAACCTTTAGGTGTTCCTTTTGTTTATTGTATTTAGCCCCTCACCCTTAAAATTATAAAAAAAAAAAAAAAAACAAACCTGAATGCTAATATACTAATCGTTAATCCAGAAACATGACAGTCTCGTCTTAACAGCCACTCTGCCCTCAATGAGATCATCAAGCACGAGGACCTGCCACATGTATGGTAGTATCTACACTCTCCCAATCCAAAGCTTCTCAAAGAGAAGCACTGAATCTGAACGAGAAGCATTACCAGTGTTCGGTGTAATAATTTTGGATGTGATGACACCAAATGGACCTTTGAAGACCTTTTTCAAACATTTTTAATGAGGAAGCTTCTGGTGATTTCGGTGCTTAGTGTCCCTTTTAACAGCTTCAAAAACTAGCTACATTGAGGCAGGCTGAAATATCAGGAGGAGATCAGGTTCACAAATAGACGGATTTACAGCTGTACATATAGTACAGGTGTACCCACAACAAAGAATGACATCATAAATGTTATAAATTAGTCACTTGTATATTTGCAAGCTTATATTAAACATGCTAAGGTCTCCCTCCTCCCCCTCCCACTTTTAAATGTGAAATGGTTTAAAGGGGACTGCTAGAACCATAAGCTGTATAACCAGACTGCTAATGCGAGCATTTCTATGCCGCATTCACAGTGTTACTTCCATGTAATACTTGTATTCAGATAAGTGTCGGAGGGTATAAAATAGATCTAACACTGTCTTGGAAGAGGATAAGGTAGAACTAACTATGGGGTTATACTGGTCAAATGATCACTAAACAAATAAAGATTGCTGTGAAATGTTATTCTGAGTTATAAATTAAAATAAAAAAAGGAGCAGCCGAACAACTACTGATTGAGTAAGTAGCTACATTCATATATTTCATGAATGAGGTTACGCATAGACCCATGTGGATGCTGTCCAGGTTTGTGGTAGAGAGCAGTTGCACAATAGTTATATGGGATGTGAATGGCACACAGGTTCTTGTATCTCCTGGTGGGCATATTTTGGGGTATTCATGTGTTTGATTTGCCATTATCTCTAAGATGCATTTTAAAAGTGTGGTAATCACAAACAAATATTAGTAAGGGAATCTGTTTAGTTTGTTTGAGAGTATTATTATAATAGTATGGCTTACCTGGAGCTCGTGAGCAACATTCTGTGCCTGTATTAAGTTACTGTACTGTTAGTCTAGGTAATGTGACCTGGCTGCCATTAACCAGTACATAGCCCTTTTATAAAATTACAAGGAAAGTACCACAGACTATTAAGGAATTATTCTTATTTTTTTTTTTTTAACAAAACCCATCTTTACACCCTTATGTGTCAATTATGTACTTTGCACTTTTGCCTTTATTTGTAATATAGACCTCGATGAAACATTAGAATCCTTACATAGTGAACTGGATGCTATGGCCCAGATGACGACTTCATGTAAAACACATGTTTACCCAAAGTGGGTTTTTATCTTTCAGTCTGCAGTTACTTGATTTCATGTGCTCTTCGCACGTTACATGAGGCACTGACTGTTTCTCTGTAGGTTCTTTAGGGGGAAAAAAAATACTAATGCATCCCTATGAAGAAAGAAGCCCCCCCGGCTGTCAGCTTGACTGGGAAACCCATTCATAAAAGTTCTGATCTCTCTCTTAAAATAGACACTGGTATGAGTTGGGATAAGGGGGACCTACTAGTCACCACTAAAACACTTTAGGGAGCTAAAGTGCCTTGGATGTGTGCAGTGTCTTATTAATTAATATTTATAGTTGAATTAACCTTAGGTGTTCATGTAATTTTGTAGTTTATGTTCCAAGTTCATTTTTTTTTTTTTTTTTTAAAGTTATGCAGTCTTTTGTAATCTAAGAAAAAAGCTTAACCCCTTGAGGACACACGACAGAAATATTCCGTCATAATTCCCTTTTATTCCAGAAGTTGTGTCCTTAAGGGGTTAAAGAAGACTCCAAGCATCATAACACACTACAGTGATCATGGTGTTAGGCATGTGCTAGTACTATCCTTTATAAGGAGCCCAGTCATTTTTAAAAAGTTTGACTTCTTATCTGGGGCTCTGCAGGGTGACACTCTTCACCTCCACTACCGATAATGGAAAGCCAGAGGTTTTCCTTCACTAAGCCTACAGTGCAACACTAGCACATTGGCTGAGAGCATCCACTGATCATTCTACTGTGCACTGCACACCCCAAGTAAAAAGTAAAACTGTTCAGGGGGCCCTAGGCCACTACACCATAACCATTAAACTATTGTGCAGTGGTTATGGGTTTTGGAGGGTTTCTTTAAATCCCGAACATAGGAGTTTTTTTTTGGTCTCTAAATATAGAAACATAGAATGTGACGCCAGATAAGAACCATTCGGCCCATCTAGTCTGCCCAATTTTCTAAATACTTTCATTAGTCCCTAGCCTTATCTTATAGTTAGGATAGCCTTATGCCTATCCCACGCATGCTTAAACTCCTTTACTGTGTTAACCTCTACCACTTCAGCTGGAAGGCTATTCCATGCATCCACTACCCTCTCAGTAAAGTAATACTTCCTGATATTATTTTTAA